TTCAGGAGCTGGAGGATTCCAATCTCTAACATTCTGTGATTCTGTGATTCCTCCTTCACTTTCCACAACCTGCAGGTCTCAGGAAATGTAGTGTGCCAGAACACAGTGCCCTCCCACCTCTTCTCCAAAGAAGAGTACATTCTTTTCCTCTGTGTAACTGCTCATGCTAGAGAGGCTGCCTTCTGGAAAGCTCAGCCAAGTAGTTGGAACTTGGGACCTGTGCAACTGAAAAAATCTGCTCAGCCCATTAGTGAAGTGTACAGCAGCGTTCAGTGCTGTCATGAAGCCTGAATATCGGTGCAAAAGAACCAGCATGTCTGGGGCAGACTACATGCAGGTGGAAGAGGATCTTTGGTTCATCTCTGTTCATGCAGCTGTTGGTCATGGAGGAATAAGGCTTCAGGAAGGGCCACTCAAGTGGTGTGACCTTTACAAACCAGCTTAGTAATACTTAATGACATACAGGCAAATTCTTCCTACAAATGGTGTCACTGCAGGGCACAGGAACGTGTAGCTGACATCCAGGCTGCAGGGAACATTGCATGGTTCTGCAGGGCCCTGCCTGGACCGCTGCCAGGTTCTCACCTTGTCCCAGCCCAGGATTACCAGGGCTTGACCATCTGTGTTTACAATGCAGCAAGTGGAAAGGAACGTGACCTGCCCCATTCAGGTTGTCCCTCCTGCTGGAAGGACCAGCTTTGCCCAGATTTTTTGCTTCTGCTGTCTCCCCATTTGCCCTGAGAGCAGCTCAGTGAGATCCTTGGGGACAGGGGAAACCATCAACAGGAGGTCTACACCTCTCCAGGTGACATGACAGAAACTATGAGACCTGGAGTAGGAATGACCCAAAGCGCGTGTCTCTGCATGGCTGTGGCATGCCGTGCATTTCTCCTGAGCCCAGAGCTGCCCTGTTTCACTGCCCCACCTGGCACAGCCCGCTGCAGCTCCAGCATCTTTGTGAACCATTAGCAGGCCAAGTTCAGCTGATCCTTTCTTCACACAATTTTCTTTCCTAGCCCCCAAAATATTTAACTCAAGCAAGGCACAGACTGAAAAGAGTGAAAAAGACTTTATGTGAATCTGAATCTGCCGACAACGTGGCAAGCAGCCGGAGCAATGGCAGGCAAATCTCTGCACTCCGGGTAGGCAAACTGGTCCTCCTTGCAACAAGGGTTCCTGTTTGTCCTTTGCTCTGACGCTCCGCAGACATCCCTGTTCCTCCTTTTACGGGGTGCAGTCTCTTTTGGGGCTTGCAGTGGGACTTACAAAAGCACCTCGCAGTCTCCTTCATGAATTTCCTGGCCCTTCTCATTTACTAGCCGTGTTTTGGCAAGAAATTGCCATTCCCATGCTCTGCTGCTTAGTGCAGGGTGGAGTTTTCTAGTTTAAGGCTGGTCCAAGTAGGAGGGCACTGCAGGGTAGGCAGTGTTACAGCTGGGACGGGAGGGCGGAGGCTCAGGTGTGGGTGAGAGCTGAGTGAGTGGCTGTAGGAAAGCCTGGTGTGAAGGCGGATGCCAGCACATGAACGCACGGCTGTTTGCGTGGCTGCCTGGAGGAATGTGTACCACAGCCGTGTGCGTGGACAGCTTTGCTTGAACCAGGTCTGGTGGTGCTTCAAGAGGAATTGCTAAGGTGAGATTTTCAGCCATTTCTTGGCATCTGGTGTCTAGAACTGTATTCACTGCTCATGCTCAGCAGCCTGAACTGGGAGATAATTTTTGTAAAATGCTGCAAATGTATGGATGCCAGTAAATTGCTACCTGATTCGTCCTGCAGACAGAAGCTGTTGGTCTGGCTCAGGGTGTATTTACTTCTCCAGTCTGTCTTCTCCGTGCCTCTTCTCAGCATTTCCCACTAGTGACAGTCATGCCATCTGTTCTCCTCTGAATGGACAGATGCTGCTTCTAATTCTGCGGAAGCTGACCAGGGCAAATTGAAGAAGGATTTGATAAAACTGTGAGCAACCGCAGTGTCATCAAAGACCAGTGTCTGGGGCTTCCCTGGCACCACGTCCTCTTCACGCTCCTGGCACTGCAGCAGTGAGGGATCTGCAGAGGTCTGGAGTGCTCCCCCAGACTCGCAGAGCACTCAGCCCCAGTCTGCACAGCGCGAGGTCTCTTGGGCTGCACTGCCCAGCCTCAGACAGGCACAGGTTCCACCACCCTGCGCTCTGGGGACATGCGGCCCGTGCTCAGAGTGCGTTTGGTGGCTGCGTCTCCCTGGGGCTGCCTGCTGCTTTTTGTAACGCGCTTTCTTTGCCAGGATCAAGCTTTTCCAAGACCCCTGTGTGTTTCTGGAAAAGCTTAAAACTCTGTTCATTATTTTGGAGGCTCTATCTGCTTGGGCAGGCAGATCCCAGTTCTCTGCGCTCTCATACGTGTGCCGTGGGAGACTCTAACATGGTGACACTGGGCTGTCGCATTTTTCAGTAGTTTCTGTTCTTCATCCTTAGTGCCTTGAGGTTCTCCTAGTTCTTTCTGCTCTCAGCCAAATCCCGGCTCATCTCTCTGCCAGCAGACAGTAACAGCCTGCCTTTTTGTGTTCTGCAGTCCTTCTGGGCTGATCTTCACCCTGCGGCTCTGCGAGGGCTCCGTATTTCCCTTTTGCAACGTGAGACGAACCCAATCACGTGTGACTCTGGATGTTTGCTGTAGGGACTATGTGGTTACACTGAAGACCTTAGTTTAGAAACATGTCAGCTGCCGTTATTGAGAGATATGGTGGTGGAAAATAAGGTGATGTAATTAGTATTTATTTCATATTAGGAAATGTCCGATGGAGCCTCTGCTGCTCTGTGCCACTTCAGCAGGCACACACAACTCGTGTCAGTCCTTCTCCCCTCCCCGTGGGACAGGCTGCTCAGGGCACTGCTGCTTGTGTGGGAGTGAAGAAGCTGTTGAGGCCATGGCCTCTCGTGAGGCCGCTTCTCAGGAAAACACCCAGAGCGATCACAGGGATGGTCCGTGTACTCTCTGAGATGTCTGAAACATCCAGTGGCCCCACCCTGGTTTGAGTCACGATAAAAGCACACCCTTGCTTCCCAAAACACCTAAATCCACTCTCTTTGACTCAGACTGTTCACACACAGGTTTCCAGACAAATAATGATTTATGTGGTTTGAAATCTGCCTGGGAATCTTAATGCCTGTGTTCCTATCTCCTTAACAGAGTTTTTCTCAATTAAGAGCTTCTGGCTGTAGCCCAGGAATTCTGTTGGGAGTTAGAATAATGATATTAGAAGTGCCAGATGGAAGTGATATCATCAAAGTCATTTGGAAGCCAGGACTTTGGTAAACACTGCTGTATTCATTTGCAAAGAGGAAGCTGATAGATTACTTATTTTTACAACAGTCTTTGTTTGCAGCTCTTCCTAGCGTTGGTCCAAATGTTGACCTGAACCAGCTTCCTGTCAGACCTGAACCAGTCCATTTGTATAACCAAAAATCCGTGGGCTTCTTGTCTAGGACACCAGAAGCATGTGGTCCCTTAAATGCACAGCCCCATCTTGAAAGACATTACTAAATAAAATTCATGTTGTGGCAATAGAATTCACTTATTGGCAACAACCAGGCTTGCCCATTGGGCTGGGTATTGTCCTGACTCTAAAAAATTATAATTGCTGCCTCATGAACCCTAGGCTCAAAATGAATGCACAGCAGGTAGATTAGGTGAACAAGCCAATTTATGCATATGTGCTGGAGGGAAAGATGAGTCCTGTTCCTAGGTGGTTAGCGGCTGTGATTGTACCTGGAAATATAAACATCAGTGCTAAAGGAACTCAAACCATGGGAGGAGGCACCTCCATGCAAATTAGTCTGAAAGCTTCGCTGCAGAGGGTAACTGAGGCAGGGCATAAGGAGGATGTTAGGGAGATTTGGACTGGAAACATTCACGCACTACCACGGACACAGAAGGTAGCACATAGCGGGAAGCAGTGGCTGGTTGGGGTACACCTCATACCTCTGCTGCTTTAGTAGGGAGCTGCTCTGGGTGGGCATGGCTGCCTGCATTCAGTGCAGCCGTGGGCTGCGGAAAAGCAGCGTACAAGGCTGAAAGGACCTGGGCTCCAGTGCTGCCCTGTCCAGGAGGAATTCCGCCTCGCCTGCAGCCCTGGAGGCCCTGGTCTCTCTATCCTGTCTGGCTGTGGAAGCACCCGAAAGGACTGACCGTGGCTGAGAACCAGTAAGGTTTTTTAATGTTAGCTCACCTGGGGAAATGTAAAGCAACTGCACTGTGCAGAGAGGCCTGTCTCCACTGCAGCACAGCTCAGCTGCCAGCCTGGCAGATACCCCCTGCAGCCTGGGGAGGACCCCACGCCTGTTGCAGATGGAGTCAGAGTGAGTTATGCACTTCACGCACACGAGAGAAGCAGCAATATATTTATTTATATAAAACAGTGAGTTAACAAAGCTCAAAGATTAATGTGACTGATTTAACAGGATTCGATGGCGAGGTTCACTTGATTATTTACTGCATAGAGGACAGGGTCAGACAAAACTGTCAGGGAGACCCTCCCGTTGAGTCATGAGGTTCGGAAGGGACCCCCTTGGTCTCTAAACTCCTTCTCAGAGAGGAGCCTAGGTGAGTGTGAGGCGTCCTCCCCCTGAGGAGGAAGGAGCATCAGAAACGATCTCTGATGAACTGACCCCAACTGCTGCTCTCCATCCCCCCCGTAGAGAAAATCAGGAGTAAAGTTAAGCCCAGGAAAAAGGGAGGGGTGGGGGGAAGGTGTTTTTAAGATTTGGTTTTCTTTTTCATTATCCTACTCTGATTTAATTGGTAAGAAATTAAATTAAATTTCCCCCAAGTCAAGTCTGTTTTGCCTGTGATGGTAATTGGTGAATGATCTCTCCCTGTCCTTAGCTCAACCCACGAGATTTCTGTTGTATTTTCTCTCCCCTGTCCAGCTGAGGAGGGGACTGATGGAGCGGCTTTGGTGGGCACCTGGCATCTAGCCAAGGTCAGCCCACCACACTCTGTCTCTGCAGGTTCCTTGCAACCATGAGGAAGTCTGGAAGGGTGCTGGTGCTCCTGATTCTGGCAGTTCTGTCCTTCCTTCTGATCCACTTCCTACCCTGCAGCAACAACACCCCCACGAAAGGAAAACCTTCTCCAGTCCACATCCTCCTTCTCTCCTCCTGGCGGTCAGGATCTTCCTTCACTGGACAAATCTTCAGCCAGCACCCCAGCGTCTTCTACCTGATGGAGCCCGCATGGCACGTGTGGGTTAAGATGTACCAGAACAGCGCTGAAGTTCTACACATGGCTGTGCGGGACCTGGTCAGGTCGGTCTTTCTGTGCGACATGTCTGTGTTTGATGCTTACATGTCTAGCCAGAAGAAAAAGTCTGATCTGTTCAAGTGGGAGGCAAGCCGAGCCTTGTGCTCCCCCCCTGCCTGTGACTTATTCAGTCGCAGCGACATCATCACTGCAGGCAATTGCCGAACGATCTGTGGCAAGTACCCGTTCAGCAAGGTGGAGGAAGCTTGTAAAACCTACAGCCACGTTGCCATCAAGGAGGTTCGGTTCTTTGACCTGAAAGTTCTCTACCCCCTTCTCACTGACCCATCCCTGAACCTCAAAATCATTCACTTGGTCCGTGATCCTCGGGCTGTGTTCAGCTCCCGAGAGAATACAGTGGCAGACCTGGAACGTGACAGTAACATTGTCCTGAGGTCCCAGAGGACAAAGGGAGAAATGGGGCCCTACAACACGATGCAAGTAATCTGCAAAAGCCAGGTTGACATTTACAAGGCGGGCAGTCAGGCCATTGCCAGCTTCCTGAAGGACCGCTACCTGCTGGTTCGCTATGAAGACATTGTCAGAGACCCGCTGGCAAAGGCTGCTCAGATGTACAGGTTTGCAGAACTCCATTTCACACCAGAACTTCAGAAGTGGGTGCACAACATAACCCGTGGGAAGGGGCGAGGAGCACAGGCGTTCGATATTGGGTCCAGAGACGCGCTGGAAGTCTCCCAGGCCTGGAGGAAGACCCTTCCCTTCCAGAAAATAGAAAAAGTGCAAAATGTGTGCAAGGATGCAATGGACTTGCTGGGCTACCGGCTCATTCAGTCCGAAGAAGAGCAAAAAAATATGTCGCTGGATGTTTTATTTGCCCAGAATTCCTCTGAGCAACCAATTCTGAAGGCAGAAGAGCTGCTCTCTACACTTACTCTCTGAAGGCTGCAGAGTGGAGAGCTGTTCACTAGTGTAAAAGAGGACAGAGGCGCGTGTGCACGTGTGTAAGGGTGCGTGCACGGATGTGCTATGTGAGGACAAGGAACACAGGAACCCCAACTGCACTCATCAGCTTTCTCAGTAGCACAGAGCCACTCTCCAAGGCCCCTGGAGGCTCCGCCACAGTGGAGGCTGAAGTAATGCAAGTCTGTTTTCCAAACTAATTCCATGGTTTATGTGAAAGAGGAAGCGTGTGTAGGGTGGAGCAAATGGAATGCCAAAGGAGTAGGACCAGACAGCGGTGCTCAAACCCTGCACAGACCACAGCTAAATACTGGTGAAACCACATGGAGCAACTGTGCTGCAAAGGAGGGGGAGATATAAATGGAAGCTGAATAAAGAGAACATTTGTCGTGGTGCCACCCAGGATGTGTAATGCCAGAAGAGACACAAAGACGACCAGACATTGGTTTCTGGAAAGATCTTTTTTTTGGAACGGTTGAGTTTTCAAGCCCAGTTTTCCTTTTGCTCCATTCCTGTGCCTGGGCATCCAGCCTTGCTGGCAATGTTGGGGAAATGTTTGTGTTCACTTCCTATATAGGGGGAGAATGGAATAAACCCGCTATAGTTGAAAATAAAAACTCCTGAGTTTGCATATGGGGATCTATTTCTGGGACTATGTGAATCCATTTGTTTTTCAGCTAAAGTAATTCTGTCTTCTAGTATTCAAAACCAAGAATAGTTGTTCTGCTGGGAGTTCTCACAGTGACTGGGAAGAATTCGTACTAAGGTTGGGACTGTAAAGATAAGGTAAGGGCACAGATTCCATTGGTATAAATACTGGAACTGGGAAGATAGGTTTATGGTAGTGGACTGAAGAAAATGAGAGGAGAACAGGAGGTCATCCTACTGAACTATTTGGTGAGAGTATTTCCTGTCTTAGAGCACAACAAAATTATGTTCAATAGACTATGCTGTTCTCTACCATCTCCATTGGAGATGCCATTCTCCCACCTCCAACGGGCATGTGTAGCGCAAGCTTGAACAACAGAATTATTTTTCCCTGTTTTTAAGTGTTCCATAAGACAAGGAGAAAAGCTTGTTACCAGACTTGGGGAGTGAAATGCCCACAAATACCTCCTTCAGAACATCCTCTTTCATGTGTAAGTTGTAGAGTCCCTTTAACATGCATCTATTTAACTGCATTCGGATATTGCTCCACGGCTGGAATATTCCCACTGCCCTGCAGACAGCAAGGCAGCTGTCCTGAGGCAGGATCACAAGGGGATGAGGCTGGATTCTGAAGATGTGCATCCTTGGGAGAAGGTGATCAAGGCAGGGCTGGGCATTGGAGGGGATCTGAGGAGGCTCCAGGCAGGACCAGGGCGTTCAGGGCTGTGGGAAGCTGCGTTCCCGTTCCCTCTCCACCAACGGCACCCACACACATGCCCCCCATCCCTGGTTCACGGCTCCTGCTCCCGGTGCCCTTCCTCCCTGGCTGCAGCCCCTTGCCCAAGGCCCTGTTGGCGCTGTCGGTCAGCTGCCCCCTCCTCACGCCGGTGCAGTGCTGGTGACGAGAGCTCATCTGAAACCTGCCAGAAGGGCGTTTGGTGCCCACTGTAGAAAAGTGACAAGGTCTTCCTGGAGGACTAGACCTCATGATTGCATGTTATTAAAAAGTTGCAATATCTTATTAAAAAGAGAAACATATACTCCTGAATTTTAAAATTCGGGGATATAGTGACTGTTCATGTTTGAAGGTGTACAGGCAAGAAATTGTGCCCAGCCTCTGCCCATGGGGTGTGTTTGAAGGGTGGCAGAGAAGGATTCACCTGAAGTGAACAGCAGTCTCCCACAGCAGGAAGAAGGAAGGCTCTTCTGACAAACGCACAGCAGCTGGGTTGGGTGGGGTTTTTTGTACCAGAGAATTAATTAATGAGTGGTTCATTAGGTGCTGATTCTGCTGAGGAAAATAACCTTACAGACAGACACTGAGCAGTCACGGTGGGTAGCAAGAGAAAGCAGCTGCTAGCTAACGAGCGGACCCGTGGAAGGAACCAACGAGCCATCAGTTGGCCATCAACCAGCCGATAGTCAGCTCCGAGGCCACAAAGAGCAGCTGCTGGGGCAAGCGGCAGAGCTTCTCAGCCCAGGAGCAGCTCTGTGGTCACCTTTGCTGGGGTAGGTGTCAGCATTCCAGAGCCCGTGTGTCCCTCTGGGGTGCGACCCCCCCTGCAGCCGTCAGGAGCAGAGCTGTCGGAGAACGTGCAGCAGCGAGCGGTGAGTAGTGGGCGTCAGCGGCACGGCAGTTCTAGCCCCAGCACTGGTCAGCAGTGGGAAAGCCGGTGTAGCAGGAGGGAGCAGCCTTTCTTTTGATTTCTGTTACATTGTTAATTACTTAGATTTGCCAGGCCCATGTTTTGTTGCAGCAGTTCTGTTACCCACGAAATTCCATTTCTTCACACGCCCCTGTGTGCGCCCCTGCCTTGTCGGGGGGTGGGCAGGGGCAGACCTCAGCTCCTTGCCTAGTCAGCAGGGTTTTCCTGGGTGCTTGGGTGCGGGACTGGATGAATGTCTGTGTTTCTGAAGGAGCCCTTTGAAGCTGTACCCAGGCATCTCTCACCGCTGAATGCGGCCGAACACCCTGGATCGTTCAGATGCACCACTGAGCCTGTACACCACACGAGCTGAAGTCCTCCTGCAGCTGCTGGTGATTCCTTCAGCACAAAGTCACTACTCAGATTTCACTTTCAGTCGTGCGTTTCTTTTGGATGAAACTATCAGCCCCGATCACCAAGAGTAAAAACACTTTAAAGCAGCTTTGGATTAAACAGGATGTTTGCTCCTTAGGGACATGTTGTTTTTTTCTGGAGACCACTGAAATCAAGTTCCTCTACGTATGAATCCTGTTGTTTAAAGCAAAGCTCTCGTTCTTAGTGATTGGAAAGACTTCAGGTGCTATTTGAGTCTGAATGTCCATTTAATCCCTTGTAAAACTGGAATAATACTGACTCAATTAAAAAGAGGCAGATCTCAGTCTTGTGTTGAGTAAATAAAGGTTTGAAGCTAGATTGATAAAGGAGACATCAGAAGTTGTCTCCAGCATTTAGGCTGTAGTGACATTTACAGATCACTGGCTACCCCAGCGCTGTGGGTGTCTGTATTAGAGCTAAAACCCAGTCCCTGCACAGGGCGCAACGTTGAATCGTATGGAAATCGTAGCCTTGCCACTGGGGATCCTGTGTCTGAATGACAAAATCCATGCTGAGCAGGCAGCTCTGGCGTTGTGGTATTAAATCCCCCAAAAGCCCGGTATCTTCCTTTACGCAGTTTTTATGCAAACGTGGAGCAGGCAGGCTGGGGCAGAGACTCGTACTGCGCCAGAGAAGCACACAGCCACTGCGTTTCTTTTGGAGTCCCTTTAGGATGGACCTCAACATATTAAGCTAAAAGCATGCAGTCTCAGAAGCCTGTTCTTACTGAAGTCATAGTGACTTCCTACTTGAAGTGCCAGGAAGCCTGTTTCTGAGCAAACGGACTCTTTTTCAGTACATTGCTAATTATATCTCTACATTAACCAGTGCCAGCTTGAGTTTTGTTATGAATATTTGTTTTCAGTGGACTCAGTCAATTCCATGTATCAAATGTTTAGCTGGACAAAAACCTTCATAGTGTTTCCAGTCAGCCAGTAAACAAATGACATAAAAATGACATACTATGCATTTTCTTAATGTACTTTTTAAAAAATTACTTTAACTTCTGCTGCTTAAGCTTAATCAGAGAGAAAGGAGGATCATTGATTTCAGTGTATCTTTACTGCACTCCTTTAGCTATGTTTCCTCAATACAACAATTGGTAAGACTTTATTTTTTCTGGAAGCACCAAAGCCACACAGTGTGATCATATGAAAATTTAAAGTTGTCCTAATGCAAGCAAAGATGACTTAAAATACTTTTTTGGAGGAGGAAAAAACCAACAAACCCCCACAAACGTTCAAGATGTTGAGCATGGTGTTTAAAACTAGGGCTGCATCCTTTGGCACATGCGTAAAATAAAGATAATGGAATTATGTTTAGAAACAAATGTCAGATTTATATTGTGCAAATTCAGAAGAGTAAATTCAGCTTTTAAACCAATGAAGTGTAAGATGGAGAAGTCTCCAATCAAAGGGAAATGTAAAAACCAACCCTTTGGTATTCCTGTCTGTTGCTCTTCAGCCTGGTGCGTACAATCAGTTTTTCACTGGTAACTGTAGTTATGAAAGGCCAGAACTCATTGATTTTTATGAATGCTGGCTAACTCTAAAGGAAGCAAATAGGAAATACCCAAATTCCAGATAATAGTTTGCAGACCCAGTATTTCTGTCTTTGGAGTTGCCTTTCACTCATTGCACGTGCGTTGCTACTCTGCTTGCCCTTCCAGGTGTACAAATATTGCTGCTCCAGGCAATCAGACAAAGAAGAAACTTGTATACTTCTTTGAGCTACAAAAAGAGCGTTCCTGGCACTTCCCGATAGTACAGGGACCTGATAGAAACATGGAAAGCTGAAGTGTCTGCAGCATATTGGAACTAATGTAGCTGTGTCTTTGGTAAGACAAAGCAGAGAAAACACGGAATTTTATTTTTATCATAGGAGAAGGCAGAGCCAGAATTTCCTGAAGCAGAACCATATGATACAGTGACATCTCCAGGTCCTGTTAAAAGTGGACTGAACAGAGACCCATGTGCCCACACAAGCGAGAGTGTGGATAAGCAGTGCCGTTCAGGAGTTCAGAACAGCCGAAATACGGCAACCTTGAGGAAGGTGTGCTCTTTGTGCCAGAGTTCCTACACCGACCGAGTGCAAATGGGAAGGTTTGCAGCGGTAGACAATGTGTTTGCATGGTTCTGCAAAGGTAAAAGCACAGTATGTGGACCAGAAGTTTGCACTGCATGTCTGCCATTGCCCTGAAAAAGACAACTGCGCTCTCAAAATAAGCGTCACTTAGAATTATAAAAAGAT